CCAACTTTTGAAACTACGCAACAACTATTTCAAACACAATTTGTATCCCAAAAACCCTTAATCTAACATGTAAGGATCAATATATGACATCCATTAGTCAAAGTCAATCATGCTTATGCCTGTGAATTCTCAGCCCACACAATCTACTTTCAAATGCAATCACTCTGTCTTCACACCAAAGAGGTCCCTCGCTCTAATAGTTAGGACTGAGTACTACGCTCACGCTCTCGAAGAACTTCTAACACTAACAACAAACTACCATAGGCTTGCCCTCGCTTTCTACGCTCTATCTTTCAAACACCTGGAATAGGATCACTGTAGGATTTATTGGCTTGTAACATAGGCTCGGGGATAGGGAATGGATATTTGGTTTCGTGAGTGACTAGTCCATTGGTTTTCCAAAGTTTCATTTTCACATAGCTCTTTTCTGAGTGATTCCCTCTTTTCTTTATTTTAGCACGACCCAGTAGCCATTATTTTCTTTTTCTCTTTCTTTTCTTCTTTTTCTGTTCTTTTTTTTTTTTTTTATACATGTAATTTTGATATGCACTCAGTTCACTGGTTGAACCTTCTTTTTCCCTTTTTCTTTCTATTTAGATTACAATCACCCTCAACTTAGGCTTTTGGCCTGAGTTGTGATATCGTACCTTCGGAGAACCAAGGATATGATATGTGTTGGGTAAGAACAAAGACTGATTTAAGGCTCAAATTGGGTTTAAGTGATAAGCTTTTCATTTGGTTATTTTATTTTTGGCTTTTTACTGGTTTAACAAAAATGGCCTACTGATAATTTTTTATCCGGTTATTCTCAGATTCAAGCAAGACTACTCGGGTAAGTTCTAGTTTCTGTTCCTAATGTTAGACTTCAATTAACACTTACACCCACATGACACAGGGTTGCATTTTTCAATTTCTTGGTTCACCAATTAATTGGTTAGACTAGCAATGTTCAACATATAAGTATCTAAGATGTCATCTAAAGATCCTAACAGTTAAACTCAGATTCAAGTTCTCATTTTTCACAGACTAGCTACTGCACAGCTCAACAGACAAAACACCCAAAAACAGTAACACAGAGTTAACCTCCATTTTTTAACAACTATGACAGGTTGCTCACCACGCCTTCCCCAAAAGAAAGGACTTTGCCCTCAAAGTCAATAAAGAACAATAAAACACACAGGGCTATGTGGAGGAGTCATACCTACGACGCTTTAGGCGCCGATCTCCGGATCAACATTGGCACTCTTATCAGTGGGTGCACTCTCAGAACTTGGTATATGATCAGGTTGGGTTTCACTTGCTGGGGTAGGGGCTCCACTGCCGGAAGCTACAGTTAACACCGCCTCTCATTGTTGTTGCTCACTAGTTTCTTTTTCTCTAGCTGCTCTCTTTGATGTCTTTGGGGCTTTCTTTTCCTACCTTTTTGCCTCTGTGGCTAAGTTATCAGGTGTCTTCTCATGAGATTCTTCGGCTCTGTGCTTCCTCTTGCCAGACTTACTCTTGGGTTGCTCTCCCCAGAGATCATCAATCAATTGAATGGAGGGTGTCTGTGTTAGCATTTGCATTAAAGAATTGGCAGCATCAGAGTGGGTACCTGTACTGGCTTTTCAGCTAGTTTAGCAACCTCAGTTCTTATCTTGGCCAACTGTGCTTTGAACTTTTCAGTATCTTCTGACGCGGCAGCTTGGAATCGATCCTGAACAAGGTTCTCCAAACCATCCATTCTGTCTTTTAAGCTAGATGGCTCCTTTTGCATCTCATTTTTGATCTCCTTTTTCGCAGCTAACACTTTTGTCTCTATTAGCCGAGGCATCTTGATGACTATCTGATTGACCAAGGTCCTGGTTTGGCGCTGATCTGCAACCAATTTCTCAAGAAAAAGCATAAGGATAGTGACAAAGGTACCTGGAGCCTATGCGGCAGACGCTGGTGGTGGTGGTGCCTCTGTGGAAGGCTGTGATGACTCCCCCTGGTCTGGGCCTCTGTCTGCCTGTGGGATCTCAAGTGGGACATGAGGAACAACAGCTAAAGTACCCACAGCTACAGATTTCGTGCCAAAGAGATGGTTCGCGACATCCTTGATTTTAGAAACCTAGATGAGTATGAATGCATCACGCCATCTGTCAATCAGCCTGTTTGGGGGAATATCTGATTGTCTACATAATTTCCCTATCAAACAGGGAAATGAAAACCCGGCTCTCTCATTCAATGCTCTGTCCCTCATCTCAGTCGCTATGATTCTCCCAATATTTACCGGGTAACCAGCCATGATGCAGTCTACCAAAGATGTTGAGGGAGACAAGGTATTATCATTACCTGTAGGTCTCAATTGTGAACGAATAACAACCCATCATACCTTGGCTGGAAAAGATAGTGAAGCTTTTGTAATAAGTGTTGGCATCATGGTGACCCAAACTGCATTCTCCCTATCTAGAGCAATTTGCTTTGAAATCCAGCGCAAAACCTTCTCTCGAGAACTCTGAATATCCATAGTAGTATCACTGGTGACTTCGTGATGTTTGCCCTAAAAAAGGCCAACTGAAGCTGGTGCAGAGTATTTCGGGACATGTAATATCCTGTTAATAGTGGCCTCAGAGATATCGATCAATTTGCCCTGAACTATAACTGAATTGGGTGGACCCCAGGTAATGGCCATGTCTCTCTGTCCACGTTTAGTAGTCTCTGTCTCTGCAGCAAAGTTTATCAGTGTAGCGGCATAAGATGAGTAAAACTCTCTAGTAAGATGGAAAGAGTATTCTCCAGGTGCATTGTTCATCCAGTCGAACTGATGAAACTGAAACGTCCGATAAATGTCAGGAAATGCTTTAATGTTAGCTACCACCACTCTAATCTTAGGCATGATTGCGCGACTATTGAAACTACCATTCTTGGTCACAATACCCTTTTTGAAGAATTCTTCGAACCGGTTCACAGTCCACATGGAGCGGTAACAAGCAATCAACTGCGATTTCGCTGCGGGATCAGGTTCATAGGCGGTAACATACATTACCATGGTATCATTATCGGTTATCTCTACATCCTCATCTATAATATTTGCCTTATTTAGTACTCCAGTCTCAGCTTCTGTATTTACCGCAGTAGGTGATGTGTTTGCATCTTTCTGAGAGCTGCTTTTAGATTTTGCACTGCCTCCCGAATCATCATCTGATTGGATACCAGAAGCAGCATTAGATTTATTTCCTGAGTCTTCCCCGGTGCCAGAACGACTGCCTCCCTCTTCAGACTGAGGACGAGTGTCTTGGAGGATAACCCTCGATGCTCTGGATCTAGTAGCTCGAGGTGGATGCTCATCAGGTGTGACATTTATTTGCACCTCTGAACTACTAGACTTAGAGTCGTCATGACCCTCTAATTGAGAAGCAGTGGGGGGGAGGTTTGTTTGTGTTCTTTCTTCGAGGAGGCATCGTACCTGCGAAACACAAAACTCATTAGTACACAACACCGTAAAATGACATACTATCAGGTACTTAGACTTCCCCTGTGTAATTACATCGTGACGCCTTGCCTTAAAACTCTATAGGAGCTTGCACGGGCCGTGGTATCCATGAAACCCCTCGTGAATTTTAGACAGAATCAATGTGCAACAAAACTTTGACCAAGTAATGTTCACAGACAGCTTCATGGCCCGTGGAGTGAACCACGGTCTGTGATACTTGTCGTGAAGTTACCTACTAGGTAAAAAGGATTCCAAGTGTGGTCCACGATTGGTTTCACGGTCCGTAGTCACTTCCACGATCCATGAAGCTTATCGTGGTCTTACACTTGGCCAGTTCATCAGTTATCTTCGTCCCTCATTCACTAAATTGCACAATTACAGTGCTAAACTACCATTTTTACACAACTTCATAACTCAACGACTTCTACACATCAACACAGTACATAATAAACCCAATTAAGTAGCCTAAAATAATAAATAAGACGAGCACCCACCAATTCGACCCTCCTGTTGGCATACCCACATTCAAGAACAACTAAAACAACCAATTCAACCTAATGCAATTGCAATCTAACCCACAACAAGTCAATATCACTTTAAACCAACACAAGTATGCTAATTTCAATTAATTCTAAGCAAATCAAACTTGTTTTATATAGGAACAAACTTGCAACATAATATGAATTTACTTAATAGAAAGTAATGGAAGTTTCGCACAAATAGAAGAAGATGAAATTGGCTTGAATCACTGGATCAACTAAGAACTTAGGGTTTTGATTGTTGAACGAACTTAGGATTGATTGATGATGGGAATCTTTACTATTCTTTGAAGAGCCGTTACAGGAAGGAGAAAAGAGAGAAAAACTGACCTTTGGCGATTTAAGAACAAATATATGCTTAATCACAATTTGGGTCATGCGGGGGTCGGGTCGGATACGGGTAGTACTGGGTTGTTGACTACGGACCTTGAAGTGGCCCGTTAAGGGTATCACGATCCGTGTAACAGTCCATGACCCTAACTTAGACAGGAAACTTACCTGTGACAGATGACGGGCTGTGAAGTTGCCCGTGAAGGGCATCATGGTCCGTGAACTAATCCGTGAACTTGACTTGGAAACTAGAATTCATACCTGAGGTTCATGAGAGGCTAGACGGTCCGTACTAGCTCTGACAGACCGTGAACCCTTCCGTGAACCTTTTTCTTGCAATTTCCAGTAGCTCCCTTAGGTTGGTCCTTAAGTTGACAGACTGTGAAGGGCACCACGGTCCGTGAGACTGACCGTCAAGAGCAGTTTGCACCCAGTTTCTGCACTTTTAAAACCATGGTCTCCTACACACATCAACACACAGTGACTCTATAAAAAACAAAGAAAAATAAGGAAAAAGGGAACATACCTAGTACAATTACATCTTGTGTTGCCTCCCAAGAAACACACAATTTAACGTCGCGGCGCGACGCAGGTTACTTGATTACTCAGACTTCATCAAGTTTACATTCCTCCACAATCTTCACATCCTCTGGAACACCCACATATGCCTTGATTCACTGGCCATTAGCTTTGAACCTCTCGCCCTTATCATTTTCCAGCTCAACAACACCAGACTGAAACACTTGTGTTACCTTAAAAGGTCCAGATAATTTAGATCTCAACTTTCTTGTAAACAGACGAAGTCTGGAGTTGAAAAGTAAGACCAATTCATTAGGCCTGAAGGTTCTCTTTTCAATATGTTTGTTATGGTACAACTCTATCCTCTCCTTGTCTAGTGCAGACCTCTCATAAGCTCTCAAACAAAACTCATCAATCTCATTTATCTGATCAAACCTTAGGTTTGCAGAATCGTTCCAACTAAGGTTTAGCTTCTTCAAAGCCCAGAGTGCTCTATGCTCAAGCTCAACCAGCAAATGGCATGCCTTTCCAAACACCAATTGATATGGAGACATACCAATATGCGTCTTGAAAGCTGTCCGATATGCCCATAGAACATCATCTAGCTTTTGTGCCCAATCTGTCATGTTGGCATATACTGTCTTTGCCAAGATCGCTTTGATTTCCCTGTTGGACACCTCTACTTGTCCACTAATCTATGGATGGTAAGGCGTTGCAACCTTGTGTTGTTTAATCCCATACTTGGTCAGAAGTGCACTGAACACCTTGTTGCAGAAATGAGAACCACCATCACTGATAATAGCTTTGGGTGTGCCAAACTTTGAGAAGATATTCTTCTTCAGGAAACCAACTACACTTTTGCCATCATTCTCAGGCAAACCAACGGCCTCAACCCATTTGGACACATAGTCCACTGCAACCAATATATACTTCTACCCATAAAAACTCACAAATTGGCCCATGAAATCTATGCCCCACACATCAAACAATTCCACCTCCAGAATAGGTGTCGTGGGTAACTCATGACGCCGAGAGATAGCTCCTTACCATTGGCACACATCACAACTCCTTACTACATCCATCGCATCCTGATGAATTATGGGCCAGTAGTACCTACACTGAAGTATCTTGTGGGCTGTTCGAGCACCTCCATGATGACCACCTACCGGAGTGGAATGACAGGCTTTTAGAATGTGCAACATCTCAACTGAACACATCGCCTAATTATGTTGTCAGCACACACCCTGTACAGATAAGGTTCATCCTAAAAGTACTTACCCACATCATGCATGAACCTTTTCCTTTGTTGATATGTCAGCCCCTCGGGCATCAAATTACTAATAAGAAAGTTAACATAATCAGCAAACCAAGGAATAAGATCAAGAGTTACGGCTAATACCTGCTCATCCGAAAATGAGTCATTTATTTCAAGCTCCAGTTCTTCCTTCTTTTTAGCCTCCAACCTAGATAGGTGATCAGGTTCTCACACCCTCTCATATCCTTAACTTCAAAGTCAAACTCTTGGAGAAACAACACCCATCTGATCAACCTTGGCTTGGAATCTTTCTTAGCCATGAGGTATCTTAGAGCTGCATGATCTATATGAATGATCACTTTTGTGCCCAGTAAGTATGCTCTGAACTTCTCAAAAGTGTACACTACAGCTAATAGTTCATGTTCCGTGACTGTGTAATTTTGATGTGCTCCATTCAATGACTTACTAGCATAGTAAATCGGATGGAACATTTTGTTTCTCTTCTGCCCCAATACAACTCCTAGAGCAATACCACTAGCATCACACATCACCTCAAATGGTTCGGCCCAATCTGGGCCAATGATTACTGGGGGAGAGATTAGCTTCTCTTTTAGGCATTCAAAAGCTCTGAGACATGCCTCATCAAAAACAAATTTCACCTCCTTCTCCAAAAGCTTGAACATGGGGTGTGCAATATTAGAGAAGTCCTTGATGAAACACCTATAGAACCCGGTGTGTCCTAAAAAGCTTCTAACACCCTTTACACAGATTGGCAGAGGTAACTTTTCAATCACCTCAATCTTGGCCTTATCGACCTCTATCCCTTTATGTGATGCTTTGTGACCAAGAACTATCCCCTCTTTTACCATGAAATGACACTTCTCCCAATTGAGCACTAGGTTGGTCTCCTCACATCTCTGAAGAGCCCTACTAAGATTCAACAAACACTCATCAAAAGTATCACATACTACAGAGAAATTGTCCATAAATACCTCTACAGTGTCCTCCACCATGTCTGAGAAAATGGACATCATACACCTTTTGAATGTTGTTGGTGCATTACATAGTCCAAATGACATGCATTTAAATGCAAATGTGCCATAAGGACATGTGAAGGTGGTATTTCCCTTATCTTCATGAGCAATTGATATCTGGTTGTAGCCAGAGTATCCATCTAGGAAACAGTACCATCCTTTACCTGCCAACCTGTCAAGCATCTGGTCCATGAAAGGCATTGGGAAGTGATCCCTCAAAGTCCACTTGTTCAGCTTCCTGTAGTCCATGCACACTCGCCATCCACTGACTGGTCTCTGTAGAACTAACTTATTCTTGGCATTTGCCACCACAGTCATACCGCCCTTTTTGGGCACACATTGCACTGGACTGACCCAGTTACTATCAGAAACGGGATAGACCATCCCAACATCTAACCTTTTTATGATCTCCTTTTTGACCACTTCTTGCATATGAGGTTTTAACCTCCGCTGGTGTTCAATGCTTAGGCTGTAGTCCTCATAGAGTTGAATCTTATGGGTGCATATGCCAGGAGGTATTTCGATGATATCAACAATGGTCCAACCAATGGCTCTTTTGTACGTTCTCAATACCTTGATCACCTCCTAAACCTGTTCATCATTTAAATCTGCAGCCAAGATCACATGTAAAGTGGTGTTAGTTCCAAAAAATATATACCTTAGGTGACTAGGTAACTGTTTCAGTTCCAGGACCTGTGGCTCCTCAATGGATGGTTTTGCTGGAGGGTTGGCCTATTTTTCAAGTCCAGGTCCAATTTCTTTGGAGCATACAAGTGTGCTCCCATACCCTGCAAGGTTCATCAGCACTGCAGCTAAGGTTTCAACAACCATCCTCTCTTCGATGGGTACTCTCATTCCTTCTTCATTAACCACCTCTATTACATATACCACATTCATATCATGTGGTTGCTTCATTGACCTGCAAATATTAAACTTTACCTCATCTTTGTTGAGTATGAACTTCAGCTCTCCTCTCTCAACATCTACCAAGGCTTTTCCTATTGCTAAAAATGGTCTTCCCAAAATGATGGGAACCTCAAAGTCCACTTCGCAATCCAAGTTAACAAAATCAGACAGAAAGATGAAGGTGTCCACCTTAACAAGTACATCACATAGGATTCCCACTGGCCGCTTTACTGACCTATCAGCCATCATCAACCTCATTGTTGTGGGTCTTGGAACCCCAATCCCAATTTCTTGTAGATGGCTAATGACATCAAGTTGATGCTGGCTCCTAGATCACACAAAGGTTTTGCAAATTTAATTGACTGAATAGTGCATGGCTTAGTGAATGCACCTGGATCTTCCTTCTTCTGAACCAGAGTTCTGGTAGCAATGGCGCTGCAATGATGAACATCGTTAATAAAATTAAGACTTACAACTCTCTTTTTTGTAACCAAGTCCTTCATGAACTTGGCATATCCTGGCATCTGTTCCAGGGCTTCCACCGGTGGTATGCTTACTGAAAGCTGCTTCAATATGGTGATAAATTTTGTAAACTTTCCATCTTCAGCTTTCTTTTTGAGTGTTTGAGGGAAATGAGGTGGTGGTTTGGGAATTTGCTTTAAAGGCATGTTTTCCTCGACCTCTTTATCTTTTCCTCTCACAGGTTGTGCTTTAGGCTGAAGATCCTCCAAGTCATCTACCTGTTCAGCTTCATCCTCTTCTCTGCCAGCTTGCTCCAATATTTGTTCATCTTTAGTACCTGCAGAAATAGGGTCAGTAAGAACTTTACCACTCCTAGTGGTGATGGCCATGCAGTGCCCATCCTTCTTAGGATTTTGGATGGTGTCACTTGGTAGTGATCCATTCTTCCTTTGGTTTAATGAGGCTGAAAGTTTCCCCAACTGTTGCTCAATCTGTTTAATGGAGGTGGTGTGAGAGTCCACCAGTTGGCTCATGCTCGAGAAATCACCTTTCACTCTTTTACCCCTACATCAGTTGATTCAACTTTCTGGAGTACCTTGGCCATCTTGTCTTCCAGCTTAGACTCACTAGAACTACCACATGCCCGGTCTCTATTACCTGGGTGCACATAAACACTACTGCGATAATTTATGTACCCATATCTATTCTGCCAGTTTCCTCGCTCTCTATTTGCTGACCTATCATATTGACCATCCCTAATGTAATTCCGACATGCGTTTCCAGAGTTGTAACCCTGATTTCCAGAGTTGTAATTTTGGAAACCTCCTTGGTTACCCAAATAGTTAGCTTCCTCATCGAAGTTGATGTCCTGAGCCTCATACATGTTTTGATGTCCCATAACATTTACCTTTTCAGACTTGGGAACAATATGCTTTGTGAGAAGATCTTTTTCTGTCCTCATATGTGCCATGTCTTGGTCCCTTTCTTCTTTTCTCTTCCTCTGTTCAGCTGAAAGCTCAAATGTGTACCCAAGATCTCCTACCTTTGCATCTCTAGTATACCATCCCCTGTTATTCTTTGATACCTCATCCAACAACTGCATGCTCTCTCATAACGGCTTCCTCATGAATGATCCTCCACAAACTGCATCAACAACAGATTTAGTGACATAGTTTAAAGATCTATAGAAAGCTTGTTTCAGATACCTCTCAATAAGATCATGGTTAGGACATTTCTTCAGCTTTTGACTAAATCTCCACCAAGTGTCATGCATTGCTTCTCTTGGTAGCTGCTTGTGTGTACTTATTTCATCCTTCATCTGCAACTCTTTTGATTCTGGAAAGAATCGTTCCAGGAAAGCTTCCTTCATCTCAGTCCCAGTTCTGATGGAGTCGTCTGGCATCTCATTCAACTAGTTAGTTGCCTCTCCAGTAAGAGACAGTGGAAACAACCTCAATCTCATTGCTATTTGGTTGACTCCAGGAATCTCTTGTGACTTACAGATTTCCACAAAATTCATTAGGTGCTGGTTCGCATCATCACCAGCTGCACCCATGAACATACCTTTCAGGTTCAACAATTGAATCATAGTGCTGGTGATTGTGAACTTAACACCTGGAGGTAGTGCAGGTAACACTATCGCTCCACACTACAAGAAAGTGGAGATACAATATTATGATGTTTAAATGTCATAAATTTGTTTACCGACATTTATTTTACATTTGGACCAAATGTCGTAAATTTTAGTGTCGGGGATTTTTCCGGCATTTAGGTAATCGTCGGAAAGAATTTGTGACATTTAGGTAAATGTTGAAAATAATTTGTGTCATTTACTTTGCAACATATATGTAAATGTTGGTAAGATTATTACGACATATTTTTTGACATTTATGTGAAA